AATCAGTTTGATTTATTCAAAATCACGAAGCAAGATCAGCTAGTGAATTCGTTGAAGAATGAAAATGAAATGACGATCAATGCCATCAACTAAAATACTTTTCTTCAGTTTTTGGTCTTTTTTCGTTTCTCTGCTATGGAGAGATATTTTTTCTGTGATTATCTATCATTTAATAGTGATTTAATCGAAATTTCTGATCACAGAGTAAAGCAAATGATTACAGACATTTAATAGAAATTTCATGCATTTTGATAGATACAATAATGTTAATAGTATAGAAACACCAATTGTTACAGTGTGTTCTTCTATAACATCTACCTCGATCCTATCTATTCTCTTTTCTTTCTTATTTTCGTTTCTTTTATTTCTTTCCTTTGCACTTCATTGACCTCTATATTCTTCTATATTTTGTCCTTAATTTTCATGTGTGTATATAAACACTTGTTTTGGAAAAGACTAAACAGAGAGAATAAACCGCACACACACGTTAACTGTGTTCGTCGCTCTTTGTGAGCGCGAACGCTAACACCAATAATTATTGTTTATGTTATTAGATCAACAATTGATCTATTTCGATGTTTTTGTTTTTTTGTTTTAATCTTTTTGTATTCAAGAAAAAACTGTTTTTTGCTTTAATAATAAAATAATAACATGACACGTAATTGTCAGATGAGATAAAATTTCTTTTTGCTGTTAAGTAAAATGAGACCATCATCAGAACGACAACTAAAAGTTGAATGTGGTATTGAACCAAGACTTTTCACCACGACTTAAACCATCACCAGAAATTAAACGATGATCAACATCAACAGCATAACTTAGTACACCATCAATACCATCGATTATATCAATAATTGGAACAATAACACCTATTCATCAATTAAAAGTGGGATCTCTAGATGAAGAAATAATAATCGTGAGTGTAGTTGCTGTAATAAGTACACACATTGTTCCAGTTATTGATAAAATCGATGGTATTAATGGTGTACTAGGTTATGCTGTTGGTGTTGATCATCGTTTAATTTCGGGTGATGGTTTAAGTCATGGTGAAAAATCTTGGTTCAACATTACATTCAATTTTTAGTTGTCGTTCTGATGATGGTCTCATAATAGACCGGAAAATTAAACAAGAAAAAATTATTTCATTTAAAATCAAAAAAATTTTTTTATCTCATCTGACAATTGCGTGTCATATTCTTATTTTTTATTAAAACAAAAAATAGTTTTTTTTAAACACAAAAAACTTAAAAAAATAAAAATAAAAACATCTATATGGATCAATTGTTGATCTAATCACATAGACAACACTTATTGGTGTTGCTTTACTATTAACATTATTGCAAAGCAAATGGTTGAAATAGAATTTGGTCATTTGATCTTTTTTTACTCAATTTATATCATTTCATAGAAAAAATTTTTACTGAACGTTCGGGCATCGCGTGCATTAACATTAAATT